TCTCACTGCTACCTAACTTATAAACCGTATGCCATCTCGGATTTTAGGGTTTAAGTCTCCCTTCAATCTCCTTCATCCGGACAAGGAYCTTTTTCCTATTCCTCTTCGTGTCTTTGGCTGCACCTATTATGTACATGTTCCAAGTGTCCAAAGGCATAAATTTGAACTAAAAGGCCACAAGTGTATCTTCCTTGGTTATTCCCCCACACAGAAGGGTTATTGTTGTTTTGATCCAAAGACTGGCACTCAGTATGTCTCAATGGATGTCACCTTTGATGAGCTTTCTCCCTTTTATGGTTCCTCTCTGGAAGGACATTGTCCACAGGGGGAGGATTTGTCACAGGTGTTTGCTCTTCCTGTCCCAATTGAGTCTTTTGATGAGTCTGCTTCTCCTTCAAATGAATCAAGGAAGGATCAGTCGTTCCATTCTCCCTGTCCCAGTGTTCTTCCTCCTTTACCTCCTCGTCCTATCCTCAATCCCAAGGTGTATCAAAGGCAAAGATCTAGAAATGAGCAGGTTGTTTCCCCTACAACACATGAGCCTCATGCACTTCCAGTCACAGATGAGACAACAGGTACTGTTTCAGCCCCCTTGGAGCCATCTTTCCCTGACCTTGATATTCCCATTGCTATTAGGAAAGGAAAACGGAAGTGTATTGCACATTGCATTTCCAAACACCTTTCTTACAGTCTGCTTTCTCCTTCATACTTTGCCTATCTCTCTTCTGTTGCCTCTAACCTTATTCCTAGGTCTGTGTCAGAAGCTTTTAATTTTCCAGAATGGAGGGATGCTATGAGATCTGAAATTGGTGCCCTACACAAGAATGACACTTGGGAAGTGGTTGATTTGCCTGAAGGGAAGGATCCAGTTGGTTTCAAGTGGGTCTTTACCATCAAATATCAGGCTGATGGCACCATTGAGAGGTATAAGGTCAGGCTGGTTGCAAAAGGCTATACACAGACATGGGATTGATTATTTGGAGACCTTTGCACTTGTTGCCAAGATGACATCTGCGAGGGTTCTTCTATCTCTAGCTGCTCACTCTGACTGGCCCCTTTATCAATTGGATGTAAAGAATGCATTTCTGAATGGTGAATTACAGGAGGAGGTTTATATGTCTCTTCCTCTAGGGATGTATGGAACAGATATGAAAGGAAAGGTATGCAGGATGAAGAAATCTCTTTATGGACTAAAACAGTCCCCTAGAGCATGGTTTGAGAGATTTAGAACA